TTTTCCCAGATAAAACAAGGATAACCAAGTATAAACTAAAGGCTCCTCTAGGGCTTATCTCCTTATAATTCTAAAATCCCGCTCCTACACTTTCCAACCACACATGGCTGTAATGCTTGCCAACACTTTTTAACTCATGCGTTGCCTTTCTTTCTTCAACGTTCAGCAGGAGGACATGGACAACTGACCTCTTGGTGTTAATAGGCACTGGGGGAATTTTTGTTGAAATAAATAATCGACCTTTGTTCATGCCCTTCTTGGTTCCAGAAAGGATGTAAGACAGTTATAATGATTATCGAATAGATGTTTCTCACTCCCATGCCCCTCTCTTCTTCTTTATAAGCTAACACCCTTATGCTGATTTTGTTTTAAATGGAAAACAACCACACATTCATATGTATCAAGACAACAGCAGTCCCCCAAAGAAGGGTGAAGCTTGATCCATTCATTCAACAAGCATGCATGGAGTTTCTGCCAGCTAGATGGCCATGGTTGCAAGCTTGCAATCTAGTGGGGGATACAATCAAGTAAACAGGATATTTGAACAGAGTGAGGCAAATGCATGACAGGGAGATCCCAGATGCTTCTGGAACACACAGAAGGGGCACCTCACCCAGACTTGGGAAATCAGTGAAGTTAACTGAGAACTCCAGGAATTCTGTGCCATGTGAAGGCAATGTGAATAGCAACACCACTAAAATACCAGGTGGAATCAATCCATTATGAGTGTATCCGAGAGTCTCAAGTTTTCAATCCAAGTGTGATGAGTGATTATCTCACCACTGTACCCACATAACCCACAGACAGGGCACAATTTGCCCATTCGGTTCTATAACAGATTTCCAGTTCCTTTTACTTCTAAATATATTCTGCTTTCACCTGTCCAATTGCACTATCTTTACCAGTCTCCTAACTATCAAGCATTTCCACTCAGCCCAACAAACATCGTGTAATGACCCTATGTGGGAAACAGTGTGATACGATTTCCAGTTCCTTTTACTTCTAAATATATTCTGCTTTCACCTGTCCAATTGCACTACCTTTACCAGTCTCCGAACGAGCATTTCCACTCAGCCCAACAAACATTGTGTAATGACCTTATGTGGGAAACAGTGTGATATAAATTCTGGGCACAGGGCAGGAAGGCACTGGGACCCCACCACAAGGAGCACAGAAGTGCAGAACCGAGAAAAGCCATGTGACTATCCACTGACTATACCACTCCCCACAAACCTTGCAGAGTGACCTGGCACTAACAGTCCTGCTTGTGAAACAAACATATCCACTTTAAACTTATCTTAGATTTGACACATTTTTCTCGACTCTGAGTCTGTCATATTCTGAAGACAGCAGCATGGGATCTTGACACCAAAGCCCCTTCCCTGAGAGTTGTATTCTTTTCCTCTGTCCCTTTCAGCATTCTTCCTAAAATGGTACACTTCCTGCTTCCAGGGAATGATATTTTTTAACTCACTTCTACATATCACTGTCGATATACAATCACAATGCTGGGACCAAACACAAATGACAAGTTTTGACCACTAGCTCTTCCAAAAATTTTTGGACATTCTATAAGCTAAATGAATGGCTAAATGAAGTCACTTTTTAATGTCTCTTCCAATCCTGAAATTTTATGATTCTATCACATAATCACAGCCATTTTTCTTTAAGAGCTATAGGTGGGTCAAATTATTCCAGCCTAAAATGACATTGCAAAAGAAAAATGGGTCAGCATTTCAATCGTATTTGGATTTTCCAAAGTTGGCAACATAACCTCACTGCCAATGGGCAAGGCTACATACAGCTGCATGTATTAGTAAACCAGACCTGGGCCATAGTTCACTGCATATTTCACAACCAAAGACAGAGTGTTTCACCTCAAAAGATTAACTGAACACAAATTTTTTTTTTCCTTTTTATCTTTTTTTACTGACCGGTAATGGGATCACAACCCTCAGTGTCGCGCCCGCACCGCGCTCAGCCAGTGAGCGGGAACCAGTCTCCACATGGGATCCGAACCCTCGGCGGGAGCGCCGCCACACTCCCAAGCTGTGCACTCTCCAGTGCGCCACCGGGCCAGCCCTAACTGAACACAAAATTTAAGAAACAAAATTAAAAAGAATGACCTAGTGGTTTTGGTTTATATGGTACTTCACATCTGAAAATATATAAATATTGGGCTATCCTCCCCAAAATTGAATATGAATTGTGTTTTGAGGTCTGAGTTCTAGAAAATATAAAAATTGTACTCCATCTTTTAATTTTAGGCTTTTAGAATGAGCATTACAGACATGTAGTGAGGCTATGCCCACCCTTATGTGCTACGTAACCTCATACATATCTTTGGTGCACCATGCTTTACACATCAAACATGGAGAGTTTATCAATAAGATACACATCTTTACAACAAATATTTCAATTTGTAGCTCAAGTTATCATTCAAAACATAAAGAAGAAAGCCCGTCTCTCAAGTCCTGCACGACATGCAACACCTAGGGAAAAAGCACACCATAAGTATCATCACCAATATTCTCTTCCACTTTTGAGTCAATGTTCCCTTCTACTTCTATGGAAACAGCCTGAAGGTTCCAGGCAGCTCTGGACAGCAGGAGCTAATCAACTGGGGTCAAATCTGGCCTCTACTACTCCTTCGCTGTGTGACTCTGGCAAGCAATTTAACCTTTCTGGGCATTTGCTTCCTTGTGTGGAAAAAAATGAGATAATCATAATACCACCCTTCCCTATAAGACGGTTGTCATACTTCAATAATTTCCTCATGTCACCTCAATTTCTAGTTAACCCTAAAACTGCTTACTTTGAAGAATTTTACTGAAATGTAGGAAAGCAAACATGGAGAAGCCTCTTGGTCCTAAAGAGAAAGGTTTTGTAATTGCTATGGCTCAGTTGGTTAAGTGCAATTTAATTAAGTAAGGAATTTTCAAGGACAAAACCGGAGTTTCCCAAGAGGACACCTAAAATAAGAAAACAAGCGAGATTAGAGATGAAGAGTTCATAAGAACCTGCTCTTGAGGAGTAGGCTGGTGGCCGTAAGTCACACTTTGCTGAAATGGAAGGAGGCGGGCAGATTCCTCCATTGACTAGAGTCAATCTTTTCGCATTATCCTCCTTCTCAATATTTCAGATCTACTGTTAAATTCAGGGTGAACGAATCCTGAACTCTGCATTAAATCTGTAAACACTGGGAGAGGAGAGAAGAGAAGTGGAGTCTAATGGACAGAATCATCCATGAGAATTATTAAGTGACCGTGAACATCTACATGAATGACTTTACGTGTCTGGAGCCTACAGAGTGAACCCCTCCCTTTCCCCATGACTTATTCATTGCTTTTTTTGGCTAAAAACTAAAACTGTCACCTAAGCAATATCAGTCTCATTAGAAAGATAGGAACAAGCCAACACTAGAAAATGTAATGACCCTTTCGAAGGCAACTGGTTCAAAACTTGTGAGCGATTCTGAAATAACCAGACAGGTCAAAATGACATCAACATCATATTTAAATAAAATATATATATATATATATATATACACACACACACACACACACACACACACAACCACCAAAAACAAAGTGATGACTTGTCAGATTTCTAGTTCTGCTTTCCTTATCAGGTCTGCTGGTGATGCTCGTAATTAATTTTACAATCATATTCCGAGTAAAGTACTACAATCATATTCTGAGTAAAGTACCTCCCCGATAAGTGAAGCCCTCTAGTGTTCACTGGATAGGTTTCTATCTTTCCAGACCATACCTGCAGATGTCCTAATAGTTCACTGCCCCAGTGGGTGGTACCTCGGCCCAAAGTACAGTAGCAGGAAAGTCCTGAGCTGAAGCAGCTGGGGAAAGGCCAAAGCAATGAATGCCTGTGTCAGCAGACCCATAACAGTAGAAGTGACTGCTGCTGGCTGTCCTGCCTTAAACTCAGAGTTACAAGTCACACGTTGCCTCTGAGCAGTTTTGTTTCCTGTACTCCTACACACTCCACCTTTGAATACTGCTCAAATCATTCTGAATTTTCTGAAACTCAAATCCAGGAAAGATGAGATGCAAGTGTGTAATCTTCACTGCTCTGAAGCCAATTGCCTGTGAAGCCTGAGCACGGCTGGTATAAGGCTGGATGAAACCACTCTCTATCCCCTTTACTCAGCCTACCACTGTCATTTTCCTCAAGGCTTTCTGTGTCACACCGCTCTCTGAAAATCACTTCTATCTCCAGATAAGAATTGTTTCTACCTACATGTTCAGGTTTGCCCAAGTAGTGAGCCTGTCACCAAGGTTTCCATTTCTCACATTCCCTTTATTTGGGATATTTTGAAGGATAACTAAGCAATAACTTAGAATCACAGGACCCCACCCAACAGAAGCTCAATGGAAATGAGTCTCATTTATGGAAGAAGCATTCTCCCAAAGGTCCCCCACTCTACGCACTCACACATGAAATCGGGGGCACTGAGCATGCATTTGACTCCTCCCAGGCAAAGGGAAATCTACTGCCCCTCAAAGGAAGTACACTTGGAATGGTCTGCCTCCTGAGCATTCTGAGCAGCTCGTGGAGGTACAGGAGTAGGGGAGAGGTTGGCCACATCAATAGGTGGAGGGCAGGGAGAGAAAAGGGTGCCATTTGGGCAAAGTTGCTTATGGCTCCTGTCTGATAGAGTGCTGCTCTCTGGCCCTTTTACTCTGTGCCATTTTCTGCCACTCCACCCCAATCTATTTGCCAAATACCTCAAGATGTTTCTAAGAGGTTCTGAATTATTGACAAACCTAGAGGATATGCTTTGGAAAACATTATATAGAAAAACAGACCTGTACAGCTAGTACAAACACTTGGTCATCAGCAGTTTCCTTTTTAAAGCCAAAAGAGGCGAAGAGGGGGAAAAAAAAAAAAAAAAAAAGCCTGTCTCTGCTAAATAATGATGATATTCACAGAACAACAGACACTGAAATTCCAAAGTTCACAATCTCTCCAGCTTTACTTACCCCTAGCCATCTTGCTCCTTTATTGGCAGCCTGTTGAATCTGGACTCTTTTGAGGGTGACATGGTAAACAGCTCCTTCCTCTACCTCTTTACCCCAGTCTTGAATTGAGCTCTGCCAGGGATGGGATAAAAGAAAGAAAAGGAGTTTTTTTTTTTTTTTCCCTCCCAGCTAGCCACAAACTATCCCAGCTGCTTTGCTGCTTACAACAGCACTCAGGGCACAAGATGGGCTGTTCAAAATAAATATTACAATCAGAGCAACACAAGACACATTGCAATGGAGGGAGTGCTGAGATTTTCTTGGCCCCGAACCCTTTCCTATGGTATCAGGATCCCCGGACTTTTCCATTTAGTTATTTTCCCTAAACTGGCTCACATATCCTAAATAGTTTTTTCAGGTCTTTTTTTTTTTCTTCATAAAGAAACTGTGGTTTAGTCCTGATTAACTCTTCCCCCTTAAATGAAAGAAAAAAATTACTCGTTTGTAGACAAAGTTTGTACTTGCCTAAGTGGCTCAGTCTTTTGAGCAAACTAGATTTTAAACTCAGACACAAACAAGTGTTTAAAATTCCAAGAGTCCTCACTTCTTTGGAAGTGAAGCTGTTTGCATGTCTTTTTCTCATGTTATTGTTTTGGAACCCAAAACGTTAGCAGGGGTGGAAAGCTTGTATTTCTGTAACATAATCTGGCAAGTGTAGAAAATGCAACACATCATCCTGCAGCCTCGACTAGAATGTGTGCAGCGACCCGCTGGATTTCGATGGCCCCAGCTAAACCCCAGGTCTGTGTCGAGGCGCCGCCGGGACGCAGAAGTGCTCGGCGGTTCCCGCAGCCTAACAGCTCTGCTTCCTTCAAAGTTCTCCTCTGCGGACGTGCATCTGCCCCAGACACACCGAGGGCAGCTGCTGAGAAAGTGGGTGTCGTGCGGAGGGAGAAGACACGCACACAGGAGTACAGGAATACAAAGCAGACCGAGACAGCTTTAGCTCCCAAGCACGGGATCGGACTGCTCCGTTCACTCCGAGGGAGTCCGAAACACGCCCGGAGAAAGCGGGAGAAGATTCCCCACCAGAGAAGCCTCGGAGAAGGCAGAGATCTCGTTACCATTTTAGTTTGCCAAAGCATTTCATTCTCAGTTTCCTCTCCGGTACACGGATGCCGCATGATGCGCCCTGCCAGAGGCCAACACGGAGTCTGCTGGGCTCAGCCCCGCGGCGCCTCCTGCCCCGGTCCCCGGCGGTCCCCGGCGGCCGTCGCGCACAGACACGCGCCCCGCTGCCCGCGCCGCCGC